GTGTGTGGCTGGCGGGTGCTCTGGTGTGGTTTGCTTCTTTCCTATCAAAAATCTATCGTCCTTAGCTCTCGTCCTTCATTGTTGTGTTTGTTGTTCTCTTGTAACAGCTCTAATCAGGGTAACATAGCCCTTTTAGAGTATCCGTGTACAGAAATGAATGAAGAACCATGACCGCTGTCTGCCGCAGATCTGGCACTTGTTGATGATGACTACACGTGTCAAATCTCATAACCCGCGTCGATACACTCGCAAAAAGGCCAGGTCCAGTTTATTGTTTCACGTTAAAACAGTGGGATCTAAAGCGAACAGGGATGTGGTGTCGGTAGTCTTGTGGTCAGGCTTTTACAGAGCGGGTTGTTCCAGCACGTGAGACGTATATATATATAGATATACTTACAATGTCCTGTCTTGTTGTGCGTATGCGTGAGTGACCTAACCCTTGTAACGTCTACTGCCATTGTAAACGACCAAGACAAATTTCTCCCTGCCAGATGAATAAAGATTGTCATTGTCTATCAGACCAGTAACCGTGAGATTGCGGGTTCGGGGGTTCGGGGGTTCGAGCCTCAGATCAGTCGGAAGTTGTGCCCTTGGGAAAAGCATTTATTTACACGAATTTCCCATTTACTCGTACCTCAGTCCTTTCGGAGATGGATGTTAAACTTTGAGGTCCGGCCTCTAAAATAACTTAATAGTGTTGATCGGGGCGTCAAACTATACCATGGCTTGACTACGGCTGTCAAGTCTACGGATCGGCAAAACCACACGTCTTAAAAATACTAGATCCAATACAAAACCAAGGACTCCGCCTCGCTCTGGGGGCTTTCCGCACTTCTCCGGTGGAGAGCCTCCAGGCCGAGGCCAACATACCCCCACTCTCACTCAGACGCACACAACTCTCACTACAATACGCAGTTAAACAGAGCTCAACACCGGAAAATCCAGCGCACAACAGCATTTTTCAAACAAATCCAGAAACCAGAAACAGATTCCAAAACAACGAAAAACTCATCAAACCTTTCGGCCTCAGAATCCTCGAGGACCT